ATCAGCACCCCGGGCTGGTTGTCAGAGTAGGTTGTGAAGGTCTGGGTCTGCTTGGTGGGGATGGTGGTGTTGCGCTTGATCAGGACTGTCATGACCCCTCCAGCTGTCTCAATACCCAGCGACAGYGGAGTCACATCGAGCAGCAGCAGGTCCTGCACGTTCTCAGACTTGTCTCCAGACAGGATGGCAGCCTGTACAGCTGGGGGGAGAGACAGAACATTAAAAACATGCAAAAAACCACTCTGCAAACTGTGAGGATGCACACGGCTCGCTCAGACATCCAAGGAAGGTACTTGGACCAACACAYGTCTTTCGACTTCTGGTGGAAACTACGAATGGCTTTGGAACCAGATTCATCATTGCAAGTCCAAGGGAGATTCTTACAGCTTTGAAAAGCTTTAGGGGTTCAGCTGGAACACCCAGGGCCTACATWGGTGAATGTTTAATTACCTGCACCATATGCCACAGCCTCATCAGGGTTGATGCTCTTGTTGAGCTCTTTGCCGTTGAAGAAGTCCTGCAGCAGTTTCTGGATCTTTGGGATACGTGTGGAGCCTCCCACCAGCACGATGTCGTGGATCTGCGACTTGTCCAGCTTGGCGTCCCTCAGGGCCTTCTCCACRGGGTCCAGAGTGCCCCTGAAGAGATCAGCATTGAGCTCCTCGAAGCGAGCCCTGGTGATGGAGGTGTAGAAGTCGATGCCCTCGTAGAGGGAGTCGATCTCGATGCTGGCCTGGGTGGAGGAGGACAGGGTGCGCTTGGCGCGCTCGCAGGCGGTGCGCAGGCGGCGCACGGCSCGCTTGTTCTCGCTGATGTCCTTCTTGTGCTTGCGCTTGAACTCGGCGATGAAGTGGTTCACCATGCGGTTGTCGAAGTCCTCCCCACCCAGGTGAGTGTCCCCTGCCGTGGATTTCACCTCGAAGATGCCATCTTCGATGGTCAGGATGGACACATCGAAGGTGCCGCCGCCCAGATCRAAGATGAGGACRTTCCTTTCAGCRCCAACCTGGAGMAAACAACAATTTTCATTACTCARCTCACTTCCTACTACTACTTTACCACCTTACTGACAAACCAGAGACAATGATCCCTCCATACCTTTTTGTCCAGCCCATAGGCAATGGCAGCTGCTGTGGGCTCGTTGATGATTCGCAGGACGTTGAGCCCTGCAATGGTTCCAGCATCTTTTGTKGCCTGGCGCTGAGAGTCGTTGAAATAGGCTGGGACAGTCACTACTGCATTGGTAACAGTCTGCAGGAAAAGCAAACAACTCAGTTATGGGTGTTAATTRYYCAYAAAAARCTACTCATMWCAYTGCACTTTAGTCCTGGACTCACCTTTCCAAGGTACGCCTCTGCAATTTCCTTCATTTTGGTTAAAACCATGGAAGAGATTTCTTCTGGGTAGAAACTCTTTGTCTCGCCTTTGTACTCGACCTGGACCTTGGGTCTGCCAGCATCGTTCACCACAGTGAAGGGCCAGTGCTTCATGTCAGACTGCACCACAGAGTCATCGAATCTGCGCCCAATCAACCGCTTCGCATCTGGAAAAAAAACCAAACATTTGACCGTATTAATGCTTTGTCATGATTAGATTGTGAAATTTTTCCTAAAAATGAAAAAAATCCTAGTTCCCTATCCTTAACCTGCAATAACTGCTCTCATTAAGACACAGGTTCAGACATAAAGCTTCACCTCCTTGATTGCAGAAAACTCAGCATTATCTCCTCAAAATACTGCAAATACCATACCAGAAACCAGTAAGAGACACTTAATCAAGTTGTTTTTGTAAGACTGACTGTCCAGAAAAACTTGCTCTAAAGCAAAGACTTACCCTGTTTATAATAACCTTAAAATTTTAGTAATGCAGTTACATTGAGGTTAAAACTAATAAATGTTTTTACTTTTAATGAAGGCTTAACCTTCTTATTAATAGTTTCTATAACCAGGAAAAACCTCTCTTAGTGCTACACTAATTCATACACCAAGTGTGCAAATGGTGCACAGCCTTACCGAAGACTGTGTTGGTTGGGTTCATGGCCACCTGGTTCTTGGCAGCATCACCGATGAGCCTCTCTGTGTCTGTGAAGGCCACATAGCTCGGYGTGGTGCGGTTACCCTGGTCATTGGCAATGATTTCCACCTTCCCATGCTGGAAGACGCCAACACAGGAATAGGTGGTGCCAAGATCAATCCCGACAGCTGGTCCCTTCGACATTTTGTCTGAAAAAGAGAAGAACGAGCACAATTTAGTAAAAAGTGAAGTTACTGTGAGTTGAGAAAATTTTTTTTTTAGTGTTTAGTGAAAGAATARATGGGGCTGGGAGCAGCCTGGKGTAGTGGAAGAGCTCCCGTGCTATSGGGTTGTAAGTGGATCCGCCCAAAGCGCTCTGTGAACCCAGGGCGATCCCTGGAATTCCAGCCCCGTTATCCCACGTGGCCCCRGCAGGGCACACCGCCTGCACTTCCCGCCCTCCGCCGCTGGGCGGCCCCCGCACCACGTGGCGCAGGACTCCACGTCCCAGCATGCCCCGCGCTTCCCGCGCAACGTGAYGGCGGCCGCGGGGCGTGTCCGGGGGCTGCCGGGAAATGGAGTCCCCGCCGGGCGGGCCGCGTGTGCTGGCACAGCCCCAGCCCCGTGCGGCACCGACCCCCCCGCCTTGGAGCCATCCCCCCCTCCCCCACATCCCGCACATGGCCCTTCGCCACCCACGCGGCTTTTTYCCTCCCCACCGCCGGGCACTGCAGTCCCCGCGATACCCCGGCACCGCCCCGGGCCGCCCCTCAGGGAGGTAAGATGGGAACTGCGTCTCCTCCAGCCGTCCCCGTTCTCCCCTCCCCCCTCTCAGCAAAAGGGAATGGGGGCGGACGGAGAAGACCGACTCCCCCCTCCCGCAGCGCATCGTATTTATAATAAAAACGTAAAAATGCTCGGATTTAAAAAAAAGCACCGCAGTGGCAAAAAATGGGGCTCCATCCACCGTTCGATCCCCACCCCCGCAACGAAACGGTCCCGCAGGGCACATAACCACCCGGGAGGGTCCCCCCGCCCTCCCCAGGCCAGCCCAAAGCTGCTCCCGTACCCACCCTCCACCATTCTAGAGCAGCTACGTTCCCCCCACACCCTGCCCGTGTCGCACGGTGCACCCCCAGCCCCATTACCCGCAGTCCGGCCCAGTCTCTCGTTGACACACTGAACAGCCTCTCAGATCAGCTCCGGCTCGCTCAATGCCCCGCGCCCGCCGCGCCGCCCTTTTATACCCACCCAGAACCTTCCAGAAGGCCACGCCTCCCTCGCACAGCTTTGACCAATCAGCGCGCG